AGTCCCAGTGGGCGATGCCCGCGAGCCCACTGCAGAAGAAGTTGACAAAATCCTGGCCCAGCAACTCAAGGACCTCCACATTGTGCGCCGCCCGCGCGTAGAACGCCGCCACCTCGTTGAAAGCCGCCGCAACATCGGTGCGCTGGAGCGGCGCGGCGCGACCTATGGGCGCGCGTGCCTTGAGACAATGCAGACCAGCTGTCTGCGCTCAGACTGCAAATGCAGAGTCCAACGCCTGGCCGTGGCCTGGGCCAGCTCTCGGCCCATTGTGCGCGCGCCTATGGGGCGCGTCCCCGGTCAGAGGCCGCCGCTTGAACTGCGGGGGGCCGTCGAGCCAGACGCGCGGAAAGGCCTTGGCCCTGACGTGGCCATAACGCCCCGATAACGCATGAGCAACCCCACGAAGCATTACGCCCCGAAACTCGGAGAGGTCCCCGGGCCGCTGATCCGCTCAAACTGAAGCCGCAGATTTGCCCTCGGGCACGGGCGCCGAGCACGGCCGACAGCGGGCGAAGCTGAAAAGGAGTCGTGGCTCGCAAGGCACTCGACGCCAAGCACGCCTGTTGTCGCCCGGGAGCGGCAGCTGGACAGGAACACGCGGCGGCGGGCCCGCGCCACGGCCACGTGCAACTTCAGGCTCACCATGATTCTGAGCAGCGAGGTTGGCAGGAACAATGACGTAATCGAAGGTGCACTCGCCTTCGCTCGTGACGCACGCGTGCTCGTTGGGGGCGCAGCGGGCTCCTGCCATCGCCTCAACCCAGCGGCGCACGCGCGCAGCATCGACGTCTGCATTTTCATCACCGCCCAACACCCAATCGACATCGAGAGAATTCCACTCGGCAGCTTGCAGGGCCAGAGCCCAGAGAACAAACATATTTTCACCGGTGATGCCGATGGAGGAGACCAAGTAGACACTGACCACAATGATGCCACCAGACACTGCCCAGCTTACATGCGCTGCCACAGCGCGCGCTGGATAAACCATATGCCCATCACCAAGCGGGGCCTCGATCATGATACTGCTGGGCGCCACGGCTGCGACGCCTCTGAAGTCGGGCGCGGAGGTGTCGCCAGCGGCCGAAAGGGTGCCCCGCGTCCCGCGCCGGCCAAAGTCGCGCGCTCGGCCCTGCAACTCACCCGGGCGATCTTCAACCGCGCGCAACTTCTGCGCCAGCGAGATAGCACCACGATGCTCGGCCGACGAATGAAACGCGTTCGCGGTCTCGATGACCCCTTTCAGCTCAGGTATGAATCGCGCTCGCGCGCGCGCGGCTGCCCCTTGTCCTCCAGCTCTGAATATTTCGCAAACCAAGATGGAGCGCGCCGCCCCTGACCGCGCTGATTTTCGAGACCGCGGCGGGGAGAAGGGGGGGGCAAGGGGGGCGCCGGAGTGGCGCCGCAGAGCAGGTCCTCGCGCCCCTGCTCCTCGAAGACGTTTACCTCATCGCAGAAAGTAACGCGAGAGACAGCTGCCGCCCTAGGAGTCGCCTCAGCACCCCCAGGGGCCGCAGCCAGTGGCACTGGCCGGGACGAGACCGAAACCGACGCGGGACTCTCAACCGCGAAACCGCGCTGTCACTCAGCGCGGGCTTCTGTCGACCCCTGCCCGAAAGCGCCACGGCGACGGTTTCCTGGGACAAACGGCCCCCCCGCAACCACTTCCCCCAAAAGCAGTTGCCAAACCTTGCTTAGGAGTTGCCGCGGCGCCCGCGGCAGCCGCGGCACCTGATCCCGAAGAGGCCGCGCCCGAAGTAGAGCGCTCTACCAGCGCGCCTGCGGGTCCGCCGGGGAGCCCCCCGACCCCGTCGGCCGCGGCCTCCGCCACGCAAGCCAGAGCGTCGCTGCCCCCGCCAGCGTCGTCGCTGCACCCCCAGTCGAAGCAGCCCCTGGCCAAGAAGCCGCCGAACTGAAGGAGGAAGCCGCGCTCGGAAAAAAATAGATACGCTTTGCCGTAACCCGTCGGGCAATCCAGCTGCGCCGGGGCTCGCCACGGTGATCCGACAGAGCTAAGCAAAAGGCAACAAGCACAAGCGAGATGCGCACCTATTCGGCCCGAAGTTTCTTGGAGCAGGCTGCCAGGTAAGTGTGTATGGGGTTGAAGTACAAGGGCACAGAACCCCTGATCCGCTGGTAGAGGGAAGGAGGGAAGATGGATGTCTTTCCCTCCTGCACGATCAAAGGTCTGATCGATCTGTCCCAATACCTGAGCCCAAACGGCCAGGCGCAGGAGAGGTAAGGATAAGGAGTATATATGAGGGTATTACACGGGTTCTATTCACACCCCCCGTCCCGAATCCCGCCCGCGAGGGTAGGACTCGGGAACAGAGGAAAAGAATCCGTCACCCTTTTACTCCTTTAATCCTTAAGTCTGCAGGCAGCTGAGCTTAAAGTCAGTATAGCCTCAGCTGCAAAGTGAGGTAAGAAGGAACACCCTGGGTCCCCATTTCTTCGCCAAGCACACTTTGGTGCCCCCTCGGTGCGCCCCCCAAAACGCTTC